TGCCCATCTCCAGCCCACATGCGTTTGGCCCATCTGGCCCATTTTTATCCCATATGGGGCCCATATGGGTAGCCCATCTGTAGCCCATGCCCATCTGGCCCATGTTCACCCCATATGGGACCCATGTGGGCATGTTTGCTGGGCTACAATTTGTGTATCTCGGATTTTTTATATCCGTGACCTAAGGTCAGGTCAGTGGCGTGACCTTACCATTATAAGTCAATGGAGAAAAATGAAAATGCCTCTTCTAGATCCGTGTGTACGCATAGGAACAGTCCAAATATTTCAGACTCACAATGATTTGGACCACCCGTGATGACCAAGGTGTCATTTTTGCTTATAGCCTCTAGAAAGGTAATCCGAGGTCATTTGAGGCTACAAACAGATTTTTGCCAATAACTCGCGATTGGAAAGAGATAGAACGCTGGGGATGGTTTCATTGTGTTTGTTTTGTTGAGACGCATCGAATGATATGCAAATTGCAACATGACCTTTTCCGGTCAGGTCATGACCTTGACCTGAGGTCAAATTTTCAAGTTGACCTTTCAAGGTCAAATTATAGCTCATTCGATGCGTCTCGTCGAGAGGAACACGATTCTGGCAATAAAAATGTCGTGGCTTTTTCTAGTCAAAAGTTATTGTCGAAAAACACTTTGCGACAAAACAGCTATTTTTAGAGTTTTTGCCCTCTGCAGACTGCAGGCTAAACCGTTGACCTGACGTCAATTTTGATGATGACCTTATCGAAAGAAGAGTTCAAAGGCTATCGATTGCTTTTCCATGCGTTTTTTTAGCTATCATAGAACTATGATAGCTAGGAACTTTCAGAACAGGAACTTTCCTGAGATAAAAGCATGTTTTCTGAAAAAATATGATATTTGGCAAATTTTGACCTTTGATGACCTCCAGTGACCCCAATATTGCTCCAAGACGAAAAATGACCGAAATACTTTCAAACGTACGCATTGAGAGCTATCGACTGCTTTTTACCGCGTCTTTCTAGCCCTCTTAGTTTTTGAGTTAGAGGTGGGTGGTAACATATGCCCCCCCCCCCCCCACTAGGGCGAAGTTGGCTGAGACCGCCACTGGGGCGCGGGTTAACGGCAAGCTACTTATTGGTAATTTTGTTCAAGGTAGCCGTTGTTACCGTGGAAACCATACTGCCAACACCTGGTAGCAGCGCGGGTGGTGGAGTGCCGTGAAACGGTCTCAAACCCCTTCAGCGTTTCAAACCCTAGGCGGCGACGGCGAGTCTCCTAAGATTGTCTGTTGCTGGTGGCGCCGAATATCGTGACGCGTTTCCGTTAGCCCGCGCCGTGATGGGAGGGGGGCGGGGCGTAAACGCCCCTCTCGGGTTTTCGCGAATATCTAAAAAAAAAAAACTGGGGCACGCGGCGCAGCAGTTTTTAGCACACCTGCTAAGTGCTAACCCTCGCCAGGCGACAGCCTTTTTCATAACGCGGACGGCGAGGGGGGTTGGTACGATCCCCTCGCGATTGGCTCCTATGGGACTTAGAACCGCCAAATTTACCTACATGGTAGGTGGGTCCATAGGAGATCTCGCCCCGTAAAAATTTGGTGACTAGGTCAATATGTAGGGGGATTTTGGAGGCACAAATGTAACAATTTCGCTAAAACCATGTCGAAAGTTGTATCGCGTATCTTGCTGGTTTTACGAAGGCTTGTAGCCGAAAGTTCACATTGAATATAGCTTATGGCTTTGATTTTACTTGTTCGAGGAAAAGGTCAATGATTATTCACGTAGGGGAAGGCATGGGGTAAGACGGCCTAGCGGGGCAAAGCGGACCACCAGCCTTCCCGGCTGAACCGCTGCTGTTCTGTTATCTGCTTAACCCGCGCATGACTGGGTGCCGGGGGGGGGGGGGGCTCTACAGAGCCCCCCTCCCGTTTTTCGGCATCTTCTAAACCATTCGACGGATCAACACGACACTTGCGGTATCTTCAACGGTATCTTCAAATTTCAATTTTGCGGTATCTTCAAATTTCAATTTTCTAGCTACCATAGTTTCGCCGAAAATGACGTCAGAGTGATGTAATGTCGGCCGATTTTGATGCAAAATATTGAATTACGGCAAACGCTCTCAAGATCTCAGTAGCTAGATCCAATTTCTTTGCATGAGTAGACTACAAATAGGCACGTAGCTATCAAACTGCTATCCCGAATCTTCGAAATTTTGATCTTTTTAAACATGCATTTACAATTACACTAAAAAATATTTTTTTTTATTTTTTTTAAAATAATTTTTCAATTTTTCGCTAAAACCGAATATGGGTAGGTATGTGATAGAACACACACTGATAAACTACTCTAGTATGTTTTATCCCAATATTTTCAAAAAATAGCCAAGTTATTTGCATTATTGTTAAAATTTACAATTATATATTTTTTTAAACAATTTTTCAGTACGTTTTTGACATCGTAAAGCAATATAAATAGCCCCATCGTGTTCCTGAGCTCAAACTGCATCTGATAGACACATTTTTTGTTCAAAAAATTCATTTTCAAAATTTGACCTTTTCTGGCCTGAAACTGAAAGTGACCTGACCTTCGGTAAACGTAGCTGAAAATGACCTCAAATGACACTGACGACATTGTTTTCGAAATCTACGAGGAAAATGGACCATAAAACATGCGTCACGTGACCGATACCTACATGATATAAAATTCTCGTGACCTAGGCTGACCTGGCCTTGACCTGAAAAAAATTCTAAGTAAAAGTTCGGTACCCTCAGAATACCTAAGGCATAAATCGAGGAGAGCGTAAACCAAAAATGAGCCTGATCGGACTTGTCAGCCAGTGGTCAGAGCCTAAATTGTGAACAAACTTTGTGAACAACAACTTTGTAGCCCTGCAAAGTGGCCTAAAAGTGGAAAGTGGCCCTTCTAGGCTGGCAAGGACACTCAGAGGCTGGTAAGAGGCCCTCAGAGTCACTAGTACGTGTCCCTCAGAGGCGCCGATATGGGAACTCTCAGAGCCGCTGATGTAGGCCCTTATCCCTCGCCCTGGCAGGGGGGGGGGGTCGATGCGATCCCCTCAGGGTTTTCAAAGCTAGCGTAAAGACGGCGGCACGCAGCAAGGCCAAATTTAGCACAGCCCATGGGGCAACCTTTTCACAAATGATCTGAAAATTTCAGGTCCGGGTGACCTTGGGTCAGGTCAACACTCAACAGGCCAGAAAAACCGGAACAAGGTCATGGTCAAATTTCAATTTTCTTTATGCCCCTGTCCAACTCACAGTTTTGGATTGATTTCTTTCAAACTTTCAGGGTGTGCTAAGTTCACCGAGTTGTATAACATATAGTTCGTTTTTTCGATGTCACTGACCTGAGGTCAGTTAGAGGTCATTATGTCGTAGTGTTAACCCGGCGGTGGGGGGGGGGGGCATTTTTTTTGCCCCCCCCCCCCGTATCACCGAAACTACTGGACGGATCCGTAAAATTAAAAACGGCGTTCGATAGCCCTGTCAAATTTGTCCAGCGAAACCAAATTTCATTGACCTCGGAGTCACCGATGAGGTCACAGGTCAGGTCAAAGATAAAATGCTTCACCGGTCACGGGTAGAGGTGGCAAAATGTGGACCCGAGGAGTGAGGACCCGGTCCGAAGAACCAGTCTGGACCCTTATGGGTCCAGACCGGTTCCTGGAAATTTTCTGACGGGTCCAACCGGGTCCTACCATGAACTATAGTATACATCTTGCATTCTACACATTATTGCAAAATATGATGTGAATGAAGTGAATGTTTCTTTGCACACAGTAGCTCATGAGTATTCCCAGTGGGAAATAGGCTGTTTTACATGATGCAACTAATGATACCTACAAGTAGTTTGTATTAATTGACTTTTGGGGAACGGGTCCAACTGGTTCCGATTCCAACTAAGACCGGGTCCGACTGGTTCCAGAAATGTCCAGCCGGGTCTGGTTCGAGTCTGGTTCCCAAAATTCTCATCTTTTGCCACCTCTCGTCACGGGTCTTCTAGGGAATGCGCTATAACACCGATTAAAACGCATTTTGTCGAAAATCAGCGATAGGACGTAAGTTACCTAGTACATATGTTGCTGTTGGAGGTCACTGATAATAACAGGTCAGGTCACAGGTCAAGTCACCAAGGGTCAGCACATGAACCCAACTTTACTAGGGTTGTGCGATGCATGTTTTATGGCCACTTCTTCATTTCCAGCTCAATGGTGCTGGTTAGGTATAAGACCATCAGGAGGTACGGTTTAGGTCACTTTTTGGTGGAGGTCAGGTCCATGTCAGGTCAAAAAAGGTCAAATTTTAAAGTTGATAGTTTTGCATAAAATGGGTATTGATTCGCTGCAGTTCGTCACGGTGAGTCTAATGGTGGTCTTTTTTCGCTATGTGTTCTAGAAGTGCTAGAAATTGAGTATGAAAATTTGACATCAATTTTGAACATCAAATTTTCGCTATAACTTGGCCAAAAAAAAGAGATATCGATCTCAAATTTGGTATGTGGATAGAAGGTGGTAGGGACTATCACATATATTCCGTTTTTTTATTCAAAAAACTTTTGGGATTTTTGGCTATTTTATTCAAAAGTTTTTTTTTTTACTCTTGGGGGTTAAAATCCAAAATTTCAATAAGCCGAGATAAGTTTTATAGCCCTGTTCATTCTACACCTTTTATGTGCAGAACATTTTTCTGTATGTCTAAAGCTGTAGGCCTGACAACTCTTCCCGCGAAACCTTTTTTTGGGTCGAAAATGGCAGAAATGACGTCACTCCGACGTCAATAGAGGCCAACCTATCATAGCCTTTGGAAAATTTTTGGTCACAATGTGTAAAACCTATTCCCGGGAGGGTACTAAAAGTTTGGTGACAATCGGCGCAACGGCTCTTGAGATATATCGAAAAAAAGCTAGGGGGGGACCCTCCCCCACCGCCTTGAAGGTTTAATCATATTATTCTCATACCATCACCAGTCATAAGCAGGCTGGAGAACCATGATTCCGCATATTTGATATGTGAAAAAATGTATTTTTATGTCATATACATATCCCGGTAGGCCACTGCCGTTTGGGTACAAAATAACGTGGTAAAAGCCCACTGAAGCGTGCTGGTTTGGAAAGAGGAAGCATCTCGGAGCTGCCGGGACGGGGTGTATCCAAGACAGCGTAGCACCTTAGCCCTCGGCAATCACTCAATTCACTCAGCCCTCAGCAGATAACTCAGCTCACTCAGCCCCAACTCGACGAGACACACTGTCCGAGGGTACCTTTGCCTGCCGCGCGCTGGCAGGGCGGCATCCCTTCCGCCTGCCCTGTCCCCGACGGACCAATCGAGCGTACAAACAATGGTAGAATCAGCGCCATCGTAAGTCTACGGCAAGTTATCGCGGGTGGCACTGAACACGTCTGGTCGCACTCGGTTATTACTAGCGAGCACGGCAGCGGGAAGCGATTAATGGGGCGAACGCTAAGAATACAGAGAGCTCGAGCCGGCCGAACGGAACGAGTTCTACTCAGCCTCTGGTCGCGGACGGACCGATCGCCGTCGATCACTGGTCCGCCTCGGGTTGGATACGAATCCCGCTCAGTCTGGAGCTCTTTTCCCTGACACCTTGCTGCGCACACTCCTATGCACGCGGGCAGCACAGCCCGGGCGGTGTGCGGACCGGGTGCAGGCCGACGACCGGTGGCCGGGCGGCGCCGCACTACTGACTGCCAACTGACTGCAGGGAACTGGAGCTGCTCTGAGCGATCTGCGCCTGCATCCGCTGCAGCATGTCCTGCATGCGCCGCAGCTCGGCGTCCTTCTCCTGGATCATGCGGTCCTTCTCGGAGACGTCGTCGGCGCCGGTAACGGAGCCGGCGCGCGCCTTGGGCGCCGCCTGGCGCGCCAGCCGCTCCGAGCGGTAATTCTCGTAGTGGCTGTCGTGCGTCATGTCGTCCAGGTCCTGTGGGGGTGCAGCCCGTGTCAGACGCATGCCGCCGATCCGCAGTCCGCACCATGACTATTTAGTTACCCGGGATTATCAATAAAAAATACTAACAATATCGGTGGCAGATAAAGTCACCACATCCACCAGGCAAACGACCCGGACATATACAATTGAAGGACTCAAAAGAAGAGCTTAATTTGTGACGATGGGTGAGCATGAAAGCTGAGTTACAGTCTCCATATTATTTTCTTTTATTATAGGATACCAAACAAACGCCAATGAATCCGATTGCATTTTGGGCCATAGTAGCTTCGATCCGTGTTGCACCAACAAGCAGTTTACTTTCAAACACACACACATAGTTTTTCAAACGCTATTTCTGAAGGACGCTTATCAAACTTTTGAACTCAGCATTGCACCAGGGCCTCAGCCGCCAATTCGCTGGCATTTATAGCCTACCTGCATGTGTGTCATGAGCATGGTCCGCAGCTTGATGAAGTCGCAGTGGTTCGGGTTCTCGACGTCGATCACGCCCCACGGATACTGGCGACCGCGGATCTTCTTCCCTGAAACAGTTGACTCAATAAATATCAGGGTTGCATATAGCGCGAAAAAAAATATGAATTGATATGTATGTATGTTTTTTCATCTACGTTTTTTGTCACGTACCGTCCCCCGTGATTTATAACAGCCATTTAAAAGTGTAAGGCATACCTAGTTTAAACCACCTAGCTCAATCCGTTTTCTCAAGGCGCCTCTCCCACCCATCAGGCAATACATATCATCGCCTTATAAGGTCGTAATTCTCCTTACTGCAGGCAATTATTTGCTTATTGTCATTTTTATTATCATTATTATCATTGCAACTATTGCTTATTGCAGGTGTTTTCGAAGACACGGCGAACTTACGAATTACGATACGGTCGCTACTATTATATCTCAGCGGCCATCTGCAGCTCACAACACGAGAGTACTGGGCGCTGAAGCTCCCAAAGTGAATCGATGGCTGAATAAACTGATATGCGAGCGCTTTTATGACATCCACGCGTGTTGTGTTAGAACCGCAGTATGTAAGTGAAGCGTACCTGCCACCTCGATCTGCTGGCTGCTGCCGCACACCGCGAACGGCATGGCCGCCTTCAGCTGCTTCACCTGCCACCGAGACGCACCGGGAGAGTGAGATCAGGCGAGCAGCGAACATGTTACAGTGAACATACTAATAGGCAGCTTAGACAAGATCGGGAACACTCCTACTGCCGTATGGCGGAAATGAATAGAGACTAAATCACGAAACGAATAAAACAATTTTGTAACACGTCAAATGTTGCGATCAAATCAAACGCTATCCATTTATACTTCCAGCCAGGGTTGTGCTTGACTCATGAGTCGAGTCAGAAATTTGACTCAACTCTGACTCAAATGAGTCAGATTTGAGTCGAGTCGGATAAAATGTTGAGCTGTTGAGTTGAGTCAGAGTTGAGTCGGACAAAAATATTAAGGCGTTGAGTTGAGTCAGAGTTGAGTCAGTAAAATAACTTTTGACATTAAGTTGAGTCAAACATTTAGGAACATGAGTCAGCTGACTCAACTTTCTAGAAACAAGCTTTTCACACCCCCCCCCCGCTTAACAACTTCGCCCTGGCTCTGCTGCCGGATTTTTTCACCCCCACCCCCGCTCAACAACTTTTTTATCTGAGTCAATTTTGAGTCAACTCACTTGACTCAACAAAAAATTTGAGTCAAGTTTGAGTCGACTCATATTTTCATTGAGCCGCTTGAGTCACGAGTCGAGTCAAGGGCAAAAATAAGCTCCTTGTTTGAGTCAGAGTTGAGTCAGGGCTTACTGAAGTTGAATGATGAGTCGAGTCGGCAAATTTTTTTGAGTCGAGCACAACCCTGCTTCCAGCAAGGTTAGATGTCATAATGCGCTTTGCATACTTCTATAGAGTAAATATGAGAGGTCAAATAATAACCTAGGTTCGAAGATGCTTCACAGGGGGTGTGGACACACTAGTATAACAAAAAGTTGATCGGGCATCGGGCTCTGTCGCCTTCGTTAGGACATAAGTCCATTCGACATTACTAATGAGCGGAAGCCTATAAATAGCTTGCTAACTGAGACGAAAAAATCAAACGAAAGCGAACAAAAACACATGCAAGCACGATATACTTACACCCGTAGGTAAAAATCCTACAACGGTTTGCTAATTGATTCGGACATTGCACAAGCCACCAAATCCTTCATTGTTTCTACTTTATAACCTATCTGTGAATATGGTCACAATGCCACCTAATTACAACCCCATTCCTTTTTTGACGTGCATTAATTCCCAGCCACCCTCTACCTATATGTAGAGCCGCCCCAGTGAGCCGTTAGCAAACCTCAGTGAGCCCGGTTGGCCAGCCCCTGCCCCGGTGAGCCGTTAGCCAGCCCCGGTGAGCCGTTAGCCAGCCCCGGTCAGCCGTTAGCCAGCCACTGCCCAGTGAGCCGTTAGCCAGCCCCGGTGAGCCCGGTTGGCCAGCCCCGGTCAGCCGTTAGCCAGCCCCTGCCCAGTGAGCCGTTAGCCAGCCCCTGCCCAGTGAGCCGTTAGCCAGCCCCTGCCCAGTGAGCCGTTAGCCAGCCCCGGTGATCCGTTGGCCAGCCCCGGTGAGCCGTTGGCCAGCCCCGGTGAGCCGTTGGCCAGCCCTGGTGAGCCGTTAGCCAGTCCCGGTGAGCCGTTAGCCAGTCCCGGTGATCCGTTGGCCAGCCCTGGTGAGCCGTTAGCCAGCCCCTGCCCAGTGAGCCGTTAGCCAGCCCCGGTGAGCCGTTAGCCAGCCCCCTCTCTACACAGCCAGCCCGGTGATCCGTTAGCCAGCCCCGGTGAGCCGTTAGCCAGCCCCGGTGAGCCGTTAGCCAGCCCCGGTCAGCCGTTAGCCAGCCCCGGTCAGCCGTTAGCCAGTCCCGGTGAGCCGTTAGCCAGCCCCGGTCAGCCGTTAGCCAGCCCCGGTGAGCCGTTAGCCAGTCCCGGTGAGCCGTTAGCCAGTCCCGGTGAGCCGTTAGCCAGTCCCGGTGAGCCGTTAGCCAGTCCCGGTGAGCCGTTGGCCAGCCCCGGTGAGCCGTTGGCCCGCCCCGGTCAGCCGTTAGCCAGCCCCGGTGAGCCGTTGGCCCGCCCCGGTCAGCCGTTAGCCCGCCCCGGTGAGCCGTTGGCCCGCCCCGGTGAGCGGTAGCACCTGTTCCTTGTACTCCTCGTCCTCGTCCGTGTCGCAGTCCGGCAGCTGGTACACGCGGATGCCGTGCTCGCCGATCTCTGTGCGCAGCCGCGCCTTCAGCCGGTCCATCTCGGCCTTGGTCAGCGTGTCCGCCTTGGCCACCACCGGCACCAAGTTCACCTGCCCAATCAGGAAACACTCCATTTAGAAATGTAGCGAAATGTTTAATTAGTAGGTGTCTGTCATGCCTGAATGCCATGTCGCAGAATTGTGATCAATATTTTAACTACTTGCAAGCGCCGAGCTCATCCATCAAATGTAGTTTGATAATAACAATTTTGACCGGATGTTTAATACAGAACGGTACGTGGCAGCATTGCACATCAGGTCCAGCTAAGTAGCATTGTCACTAGTGATGTCAATTACGGAATATCGTGAAACCGATTCCAAACCAAATACCAACAATACCAATGGGAAAATACCGAAACCGAACCGACTTGGGAATATGAGGGAAATACCAACTTTTTATCGAACTCTCAGCCTCTTTTACATTAGTGAGGATTCATAATACCAACAAAATACCAAATGCATTCGCCATGAAATACCAAATACCAAGCTGGTATCGGTTTGGCATCGGTATACCAAAAAGTTGGTATCCGATTGACATCTCTAATTGTCACCAGTTTCCAAAAAGCTTAACACAACTACCTACCTGGACTAATCGTAATTCCTCAAACTATGACTCATCCAGTGTTCAGAACGTACCTTGTTGTGCAGCATTTTCATGAACTGAACGTCCAACGGCTTCAGGCCGTGCCCGGCCGGGTTGATGAAGTAGAAACAGCAGTGTATCCGGTTATCGACGATGTTCCGTCGGTTCAGCCCGGACTCGTCCTTGAAGTACTTCTCGAACTGGTCGTCGATGTACTGGACAATGGGCTCGAAGCAGTTGGTGTTGTCGATGGCGTCACCGAACCCTGGAGTGTCTGCGGAAAACGGCGAACATGCATCGGTTCCCGACCGGCTCAGCACCGCACTACTCGCTAATAAACAGAAGCAGATGCATTCATTAGGGTTACCTTTATCCCGATAAACACTATAACACATGATTAGCGTGATGCCTGATATCAAAATCTACAGGATTCAAGGACAAAGTGTGAATTTCGGTCCTGACCTTTAAACTTCTGCAGTATTCCACGTCACACAAATGGAAGACTGGTTAGCACCTCGGCAATCAGCATGACAATAAAGGACGGTTTGCCGTTGACTTGAGTACCAGACATGAGACACCAGACCAAACACGGGAGACTCCTCGCTTTGAGCATAGACTGCATGTAAATACAGCCTTACCTACAACCGTGAGCCGCAACTTGACACCGCGCTCTTCGATTTCTACCGTGGAAGCCTCGATCTTAACCGTGCGCTTGATCACGTCGGAGGCGGCTGGCACCTGGACACAACAAAGCTTAGGTTACAAGCATCAAGACTGGCTCAGAGTTGGTGGAATCTGATCAAGTTAAGTTTAAATTAGATTATTGAAATATCACCAATGGTAGCTCTGTCTAAGCTCTAACAACGGAAGCTGAATCTAGTTGTGTTAATGGTTTATATTCCAGCTCCAAGCTCCTAGCTTATACGATAGGTAATGAGACACAATTGTTTTTCTCCGTCACTTAAGTAAGAGGTGAGACAGTAGTATATTAATGCACATTTTGAAAATCCCTTGCCATCATTCTGACATGCAGAGGGAAAAACAATTAGGTACGTTAGGGTGACATCTGGCCTGACATGATACATCCTGACCTGGGGTTCCTAATCATTTTTGTCTTTGAACAGAAGCATCGGTCAGGCAGATTTCTTGACCTCAATCAATCTTATTTTAACTCACCTGTCGTTCCGGGTACAAGTCAGTGAGAAAGAGACTATTAACAAGGGTCGATTTCCCAAGCCCTGACTCGCCAACCACCATCATAGTGAAGCCAAATCCCTTCTTGACTGACTTGCGATGCACCTGGTTGGGCAGGTTGGCAAAGCCAACATAGCCGGGTGCCTCTGGGTTGCCAAATTCTGAGCGGCTGCTCATTTTCTGGAGCAGAAGACAAGAGCATTGAATCAAATTTGCATATATGACATGATCTATGGACATGACAAAAGGACATGATGCAATTCACAAGGCTAACATATAAAAAGCTCTGTGTAAGTCGTAAGAGTACAAAAACATCACTGTACTCTTTATCACCAACTCAGGAAACATTCTGATTTGGGGGTAAGTTCCCTGGGTAAATCTGAAGATGAAGCAGGTATAGTCGACTACAGAATGATGTTCCACTTTTCACAGGCAATTATTTGCCTGGAGTGTTGGGCTGTGCCGCATGACACGGGCTGAGTTCACAAATTATAGCTTTGTCCCAATGCTCACAATTGACACTCTTAATTGCGTGATAAATGGCACAACTTAGCGCTCCGGTCAACTGATAGCTTCTGAGGAGTGGAACATCATTCTGTAGTCGACTATACGCTATGGTGAAGATAAAAAATATAATCTAACCTGACCTAGCCTTACCTACTGACCTAAAAGCTTGAACCTACCAACCTATGTCCATAAAGTTAGCGTCGTATTCGTATTCGGATTCAAATTCGAGTAATGATTTCGCTCAAAATTGTCATACAGATAGCCCATGGCACGCTGAGTTCGAAAATGGTGACCTTTTTTTCCTAGGTCAAACCGTTTGACCTTGAGAGGTCAAAATACTGCGTACCCTGTAGAATCTTTGTTTATGGTCCGATTTGAAAAAGTCGACCACCAGTGTGTTCGTCTCATCGAGAAGCAGTAGCACATTCAAAAAAATCCGAGGTCAAGGTCATAGGTCAAGGTCAAGGTCACTTTAAAAATCGCCGTACCCTATAAAATCTTCATTTTTGGAGCTATCGGAAAATTTCGGCCACCACTGTGTTTGTCTCATCGAGAAGCAGTAGCACATTTGAAAAAAAATCCGAGGTCAAGGTCATAGGTCAAGGTCAAGGTCACTTTAAACGTTAATTTTAGTCCCCGTACCCTGTAGAATCTTTGTTTATCGTCCGATCTGAAAATTTCGGCCACCACTGTGTTCGTCTCATCGAGAAGCAGTAGCACATTCGAAAAAATCCGAGGTCAAGGTCATAGGTCAAGGTCAAGGTCACTTTAAACGTTAATTTTAGTCCCCGTACCCTGTAGAATCTTTGTTTATCGTCCGATTTGAAAATTTCGGCCACCACTGTGTTTGTCTCATCGAGAAGCAGTAGCACATTTGAAAAAATCGAAGGTCAAGGTCATAGGTCATGGTCAAGGTCACTTTAAACGTTAATTTTAGTCCCCGTACCCTGTAGAATCTTTGTTTATGGTCCGATTTGAAAATTTCGGCCACCACTGTGTTCGTCTCATCGAGAAGCAGTAGCACATTTGAAAAAATCCGAGGTCAAGGTCATAGGTCAAGGTCAAGGTCACTTTAAACGTTAATTTTAGTCCCCGTACCCTGTAGAATCTTTGTTTATGGTCCGATTTAAAAATTTCGGCCACCACTGTGTTCGTCTCATCGAGAAGCAGTAGCACATTCGAAAAAATCCGAGGTCAAGGTCATAGGTCAGGGTCAAGGTCACTTTAAACGTTAAATTTAGTCCCCGTACCCTATAGAATCTTTGTTTTTGGTCCGATTTGAAAATTTCGGCCACCACTGTGTTCGTCTCATCGAGAAGCAGTAGCACATTCGAAAAAATCCGAGGTCAAGGTCATAGGTCAAGGTCAAGGTCACTTTAAACGTTAATTTTAGTCCCCGTACCCTGTAGAATCTTTGTTTATCGTCCGATCTGAAAATTTCGGCCACCACTGTGTTCGTCTCATCGACAAGCAGTAGCACATTTGAAAAAATCCGAGGTCAAGGTCATAGGTCAAGGTCAAGGTCACTTTAAACGTTAATTTTAGTCCCCGTACCCTGTAGAATCTTTGTTTATGGTCCGATTTGAAAATTTCGGCCACCACTGTGTTCGTCTCATCGAGAAGCAGTAGCACATTTGAAAAAATCCGAGGTCAAGGTCATAGGTCAAGGTCACTTTAAACGTTAATTTTAGTCCCCGTACCCTCTAGAATCTTTGTTTATGGTCCGATTTGAAAATTTCGGCCACCACTGTGTTCGTCTCATCGAGAAGCAGTAGCACATTACAAAAAATCCAAGGTCAAGGTCATAGGTCAAGGTCAAGGTCACATTAAACGTTAATTTTAGTCCCCGTACCCTGTAAAATCTTTGTTTATGGTCCGATCTGAAAATTTCGGCCACCACTGTGTTCGTCTCATCGAGAAGCAGTAGCACATTCGAAAAAATCCGAGGTCAAGGTCATAAGTCAAGGTCAAGGTCACTTTAAACGTTAATTTTAGTCCCCGTACCCTGTAGAATCTTTGTTTATGGTCCGATTGGAAAATTTCGGCCACCACTGTGTTCGTCTCATCGAGAAGCAGTAGCACATTTGAAAAAATCCGAGGTCAAGGTCATAGGTCAAGGTCAAGGTCACTTTAAACGTTAATTTTAGTCCCCGTACCCTGTAGAATCTTTGTTTATGGTCCGATTTGAAAATTTCGGCCACCACTGTGTTCGTCTCATCGAGAAGCAGTAGCACATTTGAAAAAATCCGAGGTCAAGGTCATAGGTCAAGGTCAAGGTCACTTTAAACGTTAATTTTATTCCCCGTACCCTGTAGAATCTTTGTTTATCGTCCGATTTGAAAATTTCGGCCACCACTGTGTTCGTCTCATCGAGAAGCAGAAGCACATTTGAAAAAATCCGAGGTCAAGGTCATAGGTCAAGGTTAAGGTCACTTTAAACGTTAATTTTAGTCCCCGTACCCTGTAGAATCTTTGTTTATGGTCCGATTTACAAATTTCGATGAGACGAACACACTGGTGGTCGAATTTTTCAAATCGGACCATAAACAAAGATTCTACAGGGTACGCAGTATTTTGACCTCTCAAGGTCAAACGGTTTGACCTAGGAAAAAAAGGTCACCATTTTCGAACTCAGCGTGCCATGGGCTATCCGTATGCCAATTTTGAGCGAAATCATTACTCGAATTTGAATCCGAATTTTAACGTTTAAAGTGACCTTGACCTTGACCTATGACCTTGACCTCGGATTTTTTCGAATGTGCTACTGCTTCTCGATGAGACGAACACAGTGGTGGCCGAAATTTTCAAATCGGACCATAAACAAAGATTCTACAGGGTACGGGGACTAAAATTAACGTTTAAAGTGACCTTGACCTTGACCTATGACCTTGACCTCGGATTTTTTCCAATGTGCTACTGCTTGTCGATGAGACGAACACAGTGGTGGCAGAAATTTTTAGATCGGACGATAAACAAAGATTCTACAGGGTACGGGGACTAAAATTAACGTTTAAAGTGACCTTGACCTTGACCTACGACCTTGACCTCGGATTTTTTCAAATGTGCTACTGCTTCTCGATGAGACGAACACAGTGATGGCCGAAATTTTTAAATCGAACCATAAACAAAGATTCTACAGGGTACCGGGACTAAAATTAACGTTTAAAGTGACCTTGACCTTGACCTATGACCTTGACCTCGGATTTTTTCAAATGTGCTACTGCTTCTCGATGAGACGAACACAGTGGTGGCCGAAATTTTCAAATCGGACCATAAACAAAGATTCTACAGGGTACGGGGACTAAAATTAACGTTTAAAGTGACCTTGACCTTGACCTATGACCTTGACCTCGGATTTTTTCGAATGTGCTACTGCTTCTCGATGAGACGAACACAGTGGTGGCCGAAATTTTCAAATCGGACCATAAACAAAGATTCTACAGGGTACGGGGACTAAAATTAACGTTTAAAGTGACCTTGACCTTGACCTATGACGTTGACCTCGGATTTTTTCAAATATGCTACTGCTTCTCGATGAGACGAACACAGTGGTGGCCGAAATTTTTAAATCAGACCATAAACAAAGATTCTACAGGGTACGGGGACTAAAATTAACGTTTAAAGTGACCTTGACCTTGACCTATGACCTTGACCTCGGATTTTTTCAGATGTGCTACTGTTTCTCAATGAGACGAACACAGTGGTGGCCGAAATTTTCAAATCGGACGATAAACAAAGATTCTACAGGGTACGGGGACTAAAATTAACGTTTAAAGTGACCTTGACCTTGACCTATGACCTTGACCTCGGATTTTTTCGAATGTGCTACTGCTTCTCGATGAGACGAACACAGTGGTGGCCGAAATTTTCAGATCGGACGATAAACAAAGATTCTACAGGGTACGGGGACTAAAATTAACGTTTAAAGTGACCTTGACCTTGACCTATGACCTTGACCTCGGATTATTTCGAATGTGCTACTGCTTCTCGATGAGACGAACACAGTGGTGGCCGAAATTTTTAAATCGGACCATAAACAAAGATTCTACAGGGTACGGGGACTAAAATTAACGTTTAAAGTGACCTTGACCTTGACCTATGACCTTGACCTCGGATTTTTTCAAATGTGCTACTGCTTGCCGATGAGACGAACACAGTGGTGGCCGAAATTTTCAAATCGGACGATAAACAAAGATTCTACAGGGTACGGGGACTAAAATTAACGTTTAAAGTGACCTTGACCTTGACTCATGACCTTGACCTCGGATTTTTTTCGAGTGTGCTACTGCTTCTCGATGAGACTAACACAGTGGTGGCCGAAATTTTTAAATCGGACCATAAACAAAGATTCTACAGGGTACGGGGACTAAAATTAACGTTTAAAGTGACCTTGACCTTGACCTATGACCTTGACCTCGGATTTTTTTTTTCAAATGTGCTACTGCTTCTCGATGAGACGAACACAGTGGTGGCCGAAATTTTCAAATCGGACCATAAACAAAGATTCTACAGGGTACGGGGACTACAATTAACGTTTAAAGTGACCTTGACCTTGACCTATGACCTTGACCTCGGATTTTTTCCAATGTGCTACTGCTTCTCGATGAGACGAACACAGTGGTGGCCGAAATTTTCAAATCGGACGATAAACAAAGATTCTACAGGGTACGGGGACTAAAATTAACGTTTAAAGTGACCTTGACCTTGACCTATGACCTTGACCTCGGATTTTTTTCGAATGTGCTACTGCTTGTCGATGAGACGAACACAGTGGTGGCCGAAATTTTCAGATCGGACGATAAACAAAGATTCTACAGGGTACGGGGACTAAAATTAACGTTTAAAGTGACCTTGACCTTGACCTATGACCTTGACCTCGGATTTTTTCAAATGTGCTACTGCTTCTCGATGAGACGAACACAGTGGTGACCGAAATTTTTAAATCGGACCATAAACAAAGATTCTACAGGGTACGGGGACTAAAATTAACGTTTAAAGTGACCTTGACCTTGACCTATGACCTTGACCTCGGATTTTTTCAAATGTGCTACTGCTTCTCGATGAGACGAACACAGTGGTGGCCGAAATTTTCAAATCGGACTATAAACAAAGATTCTACAGGGTACGGGGATTAAAATTAACGTTTAATGTGACCTTGACCTTGACCTATGACCTTGACCTCGGATTTTTCAAATTTGCTACTGCTTCTCGATGAGACGAACACAGTGGTGGCCGAAATTTTCAAATCGGACCATAAACAAAGATTCTACAGGGTACGCGGACTAAAATTAACGATTAAAGTGACCTTGACCTTGACCTATGACCTTGACCTCGGATTTTTTCGAATGTGCTACTGCTTCTCGATGAGACGAACACAGTGGTGACCGAAATTTTCAGATCGGACGATAAACAAAGATTCTACAGGGTACGGGGACTAAAATTAACGTTTAAAGTGACCTTGACCTTGACCTATGACCTTCACCTCGGATTTTTTCGAATGTGCTACTGCTTCTCGATGCGACGAACACAGTGGTGGCCGAATTTTTCCGATAGCTCCAAAAATGAAGATTTTATAGGGTACGGCGATTTTTAAAGTGACCTTGACCTTGACCTATGACCTTGACCTCGGATTTTTTTGAATGTGCTACTGCTTCTCGATGAGACGAACACACTGGTGGTCGAATTTTTCAAATCGGACCATAAACAAAGATTCTACAGGGTACGCAGTATTTTGACCTCTCAAGGTCAAACGGTTTGACCTAGGAAAAAAAGGTCACCATTTTCGAACTCAGCGTGCCATGGGCTATCTGTATGCCAATTTTGAGCGAAATCATTACTCGAATTTGAATCCGAATACGAATACGACGCTAACTTTATGGACATTACCAACCTACAGCATACCAATTTACCAAGAAAAATTGGTAAATGTCAAGATAAAGTCCTGAGAAGATTTCAAGGATTTTTTTCTCATAATCTTACATTATTTGACATCCCAAATCCAAAAATGATACTTACATGTCTCGCAAATAAAAGGAAATAACATAAGCAAAACTGACTTAACCTTACCTACTTACCAACTACAACCTACCAACCTAAAACCTGCAAACCTACCAACCTACAACCTCAAACCTACAAACCTACAACATAACCTACAACCTAAAATTTCCACTGTTTCATATTCGTATCAACAGCAGTCAGCACCACAATTGTAGATCAGACCTTATCTTGACAAACACCCTGAAATTCATCCCCACATTATACCGTTTCTAATCCTTGCCTCTGGATTGGGATTAAAGGGACCCTCCCACCTTAACATTAGATTTGAGTTGAGCTAGCCAAAATGGGGTCCCTGGCTCACAATTACCGGTTTCGGCACTCACAACATCGTGAAATGCCTTAAATCGGAAATAGGTATTGAATTTCAAAATTGCAGCATTTTGATTCAGAGGGGCTAATGCATAGGAATACCCCTCTGAATGTGTGACGTCAGCGCAGATATCTAACAATTTTTAAATGTTTGACTAAAACGTTTTGTAGCACGCGGTGGTATATGCTGCTTTGCGTGCAACAAGTGCCGCACTTTCAGCTGCCAAACTATTGCTTCCAAATGAAGTCGCTAGGAACAGCGGAGATGAGATCCCAAAAAGTAAACAAAAGTAAAAGTCTAATATCTTGAAAACCGGTGAATATCTTTTGGTGAAATTTGGTAGATATTCGTTTTCGCTCTTTCTGAACCGAGCGACATCACTTTCATGCCAATTCATAAACTTTTTTGAAGGTGGGAGGGTCCAAGCCATCCCAGACCCAATTCGGGTTCAATTCCTGGGCAAGTTGCGTGGCCTTGTCCCCACCTGGTCTGGTCACTTGGAACAGGATGAGATTTCCAGTTAGAACTTGGTCCACTGGATATGGTACTTAATCAAAATTCCAAATTGCATTATTAGCACCGTCACTGACTTATAGGTACCTATTCAGCTTACCTCTTACTGTAGGTAGGTAATTGATATTCACCAAAACCCTCCTTTTGTGTCTGCCTGAGGGATTTGTTCAAACAATCCAGCAAGTTAAAACTTGAAAGTATGAATACCTTTCGAGTGACAACTCGAAATCTTTCCAATTTTTAAACAAAGATTTGCAACTCCGGCGACATCCGAGGTGTGGCCTGTGATGCCAAAAGCTTCAACGTGATTGGGCAGCTCGGCAAATGACGTATACGAGGTAAAAGAGGAATACGCTAGAAGAAGCATTTATGACAAACAGAATCAATGGAACTATTTTTTCCCGAATTAGACAATTTTGGATCTTAAACTGATGTATTGTAACAAAAATACATTTATTTTCAGGTGTAAATGACGATTGTGTCTACATCAGCGATTTAGCTCACTTTCCCTTTTGTAGCAGCTTTTTAAGAAGACCATCGAAAATGTCCATCTGTGGCGCACGAGTTTCAATAAAATTCGCTCTTCAACGCGTTGCCTACGCGCGCCGAATCTACAGATAATAAATTGAGGGAAAGAGGGGTAGGTTCATAGGCAGGCACGTATCCAGGATTTCGCTCAGGGGGGGGGGGGGGGGCGACAGCCGAGAAGGGCCCGGAGGTCAGCCAAAAGGGGCCCCACAGCGACTGCCTATCCTGGCGTGTAAAAATTCGAGAATGTCGAAAAAACAGCAAATTTACGATAGAATTTGGCATTGTAAATGAAAATGCATTGTCTTGCGTTTCTCGACCTTGATAACATGTTTGCAGTTAGCTTCCGTTGAAGTTCGTTTTTGCAGTTCACTTCCGTTGAAGTTCGTTAACCCGCGCCCGGCCGGGGGGGGGGGCTGTTTGAACACCTCCTCCTTGCGGTTTTGCGTGGATATAAAAAAGGGGGATGAATCTTATCTACAGATATGAAAATTTTACACCCAGGTCGCTCAAGGTCAGGTCACCAGACCACGTCAAGTGACCTCACCTCAGAAAAGGTTAGAATGCTCTCCATAGCAACACCGACTGAACGATCGGCTTGAAACTTTTAGCGATTGATAAGAGTAACAGTATGTATAAAATGATTATCTCGAAATTTGCATACCGGTGGTGACATAAGGTCAAGTCAATTTTTGCGCCCTCTCCATTAGGTTTTATAAATGGGAGAAAATCGAAAGGTGCCTCTTTTAGGCAAACGTCATCCTAGGCACCCTCAATCACCTGGTTACATAAAAAATGACAACCTAAATCGGAAATTTGTACCCGTGACCCCTCCTTATGTCTATGGGGTCATCTCAGGTCACGAAATGTCTCCACAGCTTTTGACAATAGCATTTGTTAGAGACACGCTAGAGCGTTGAAAACACCTTGGATGTGTTCAGGCCTTATCGACGATACGGTTTGACGGATGTGCATCATGACCTTTCAGGTCAGGTCACCTTGAATTTAGTTCAAATTTTCTAAATGACCTGATAAGGTCAAATTATATGTAGTTCATTCGACGCGTCTCGACGAGAGTAACACGATGCTGACAAAAGAAATGTCGTGCCTTTTCCTGAGTCGAAAATTGTTGAAGAAAAAAAGTGTTTCATAAAAACGACTATTTTAAAAGTTTTTTCTCTCAAGAGGCTAAACCGTTAACCCGAGCACCGACGGGGGGGCTGTTATCCGCCCCCCCCCTTGAGGTTATCGTGAATAGCGGGAAAACCGCGGCGCGTAGCGCCGCGAAATTTGGCATGACTATTTTCTCATTAATTTTACACATGGTGTGCAAGTTTGAACCTCCTAACTTTTAAGGTCAGATCACCAGGTTACTTCGAATGACCCAACCTCAAATCACTTTTTTGCAACTTTGTCACGTCGTGTCAGAGCTACAGTAGATAACGGAGTATGATTCGATGCGGATTGACGAGAGGATCACGATGGTGCCCTTAGTTTGTTCCTAGCTTGGCTAATTCGAAAGTTATTCGAGAAAAACTCTTCATATCTAGCGCCGCCATTTTGACTTTTTTACCCCTGTGACGTCATCTTTGACCTGATCTGGAAATGACCTAATTAAAAATTGTAGACCTTGTCCGTGCGTACCCCATGCCGTTTACCGCTTGTCGCTATCTTGCTTCGTTCTTGAGATCTCAGGGGGCGGGCGGTCATCCGCCCCCCCCCCCCCGTCGGTTCTAAGTTGGCGCGGACCCCCGTCGGTGCGCGGGTTAATCGCAGGTCAATTCTGAGAACAGTTTACGGAAAGAACGTTAAAAGAACTATTGAATGCGTTTTTTTGTGGCGCTGCAGCTCTGTTTGTACCCGGGTTATGCGCCGGAGTTGTCAAACAATGTTGAAATAGGCAAAATGTGACCTTTGCTGACTTATGGTGACCTGACCTTTGACCTGACCTAGAAAATGACCGAGTTACTTTCGGCATGATTTTTTACGCTCTTCCGAATGCCACGTACGCTTACGTGTCGCTACGTGGCCCAGGAGCCGAGTTAGAGAGAGAGGGTGTTCAAACGCCTCCCCCACCGCCTGTCCCAAACGCCATCCGTGGCGCAACTATGGAGCTCATTTTGTTCGGAGAACTGTAAACAGGAGCAGCCCCATGAGGTCAGTCGAAAGGGTCCCATCATCGGCTGTTGCCTGTTCCTCGGGCCCCATGGCCTGGACAGGGCCTTCTCAGCGGGCCCTTCCGTTTCTGGGGCCCGGCCAGGACAAGCTGTTTCTGAGACTGGGCACGGAAGTGTATATCTGGGCTCGCTTTCTTGATACGTTGTCGAGGCCGAGGGACCAATACTTAAGCTCAAAAGCCTGCTTCAAGGCTTTCTGAGCGGGCCCTTCCGCTTTTGTAGACCTCCCGGGCCCCCGGTTGTCATTGGCTTGGCCCGGTCCGCTTGTGGGGCCCGGCTAGGGACCCATATGAGCACCGGCAAGACCCTATGGGCCCTTTTTGGACCCGAAAGCCTGGGCAAGATCTTCTCAGCGGGCCCTTCCACATCTAGGGCACAGACAGGCCCTGTGACTGGGCACGGAAGAGGATTTTTTCGGATCCGCTAACCATAACTTCTCCGGGGCCAATTAGCTCAAAAGCGATACCTTTGGGCCCGATAAGGGACCCGTTTGGAGTCCGGCAGGGCCATAGGGGCCCTTCCTCAAGCTCGAAGGCTCGAGCATATCCTTCTGAACGGGTCTTTCCGCTTTTGGGGCCCTGCCGGGCTCCAAATTGCCCTCGCTCTGCCCAAAAGTGGGCCGAAGGGCCCAGTTACGGACCTGTTTGTGGCCCGGCAGGGCCCCAGGGGCCCATCCGCGAACCAAAAAATTCGAGCAAATCCTTCTGAACATGCCCTTCCGCTTTTTGGCCCAGCCGACCCCAAATTGTTCCTGACTAGGCCCCAAAGCGGGCCCTTCGGGCCCGCTTTCTTGCTGCCTAGCGGGCCCTGCCGGGCCCGCTTTTGGGGCCCGGCAGGGCCCAGGGGGGGGGGCGACCGCCCCCGTCGCCCCCCCTTGGATACGTCCCTGTTCATAGGTATTGACAGGTATTGAAATGTTAGGTAAGGAAATCAGGAACCCAAATTTTAAGTTCCATAGCAAGGTAAGGTATAGTTCAAGTTGGACATAAGAGCCTCGACGCTAAGCGCCCTAATCCACAACAAGGTATCCAAAACACTTGCCACAAGTGCAAGCGGTGCAAGCACAAGTGCCTATACCAAAATTCAGCTTGAATTGTAAAAAAACTGCTGAAAAGACTGTGTTAAATGGAGAAGCTTTCTGGTCTAGGGGTAAGTTCCTTGCCACCAGATTCGGCCATCCTGATCCGGGTTCGATTCCCGGGCAATGCACGTGGCATTGCCACTGCCTGACCGCTTGGAACAGAGTGAGTGTTCCGGGTAGCACTTGGTCCACTGGGTATAGTGCTTAACTCAAAGCAAGTGGTGTTGAATGATTTTTAGTTTTGATGTGAATGAAATAAAGATAATGGACTGCAGTTTTTTTTCTTCATTTTGTTACATGCCTTGGCCTGCGAAGTAGGTAGGTATGTAGGAATAGGTACCTTTTGACAGATGACAATCCTAACACAGTAGGCGGAACTATGGTCAAGCGTACCCATTTTCGGGAACGCATTTTCGTTCCCATGTTTGGGAACGATAAACCCAAATATGGGAACGCCATGTAGGCACTATTTAAAACAAGAAAAAGAACCGTTAAATGGCGTCCAAAAAATATAAAACGATCGTGAACCGCCTGATATTTGTCTCAATATTGTTGGGAAAGAGTTTGATATTGTAAGGCCCATCGTAGTTTCAAATCGTTCCCCTATTTCTAAAGCAGTCCATCATCCGGGCCGCGAGCCCAAATTTGGGAACGCTCTCGTACTCTGGCGCTGCAAGCGTTCCTTATTATGGGAACGGCGTACCCAAAATTGGGAACGATTTCACCGACGCCTTTCAGGGGCTCTTTTCATTAACAAGCATCACGTCCAACGCCGCAAATTATTGTTAACGCAACAATCATCAGATGACCTTTCCGGCAAGACCGTCGCATGTTTCGCCCGGTCTTCTGCGCTTTTATTCCCGTCGATCTCGCAGCGGGCACGCCCCCCTCTGCAGGATTACGTAATTCACAACGCTCAGCGATGTTCAACAAGGTCTTCCATACCGATATCCACCGTCCGCGCCGAGGGTGGAGACATATCAAGCACCTGTCTGTTTATCACCGTAGTTGACGAGCACAAGGAAGTATCCAAAAATGGGAACGCTGAATATGTTACACCCTCAAAACACCTAGTCCCAGGGGCGGCGGATTCAGGGGGGCAGGGGGGGCAGTTGCCCCCCCTGGCAAACTCGTGGGGGGGCAAAAGTATCTTTTTGCCCCCCCATAATTTGTGACAAAGCTTAGACAAGAAACCATATACCTGATTATTCTGTTCGATCATCTGAAAATGTAACCAGATGCCCATATACTTTATCATACGTTGCCTTTCTTAAATGGCAAGCGTTAACGTTCAATTGAAGTTTTCCGCTCTTCAACCTAGTTTTGGAGGCATTATAAGCGTCAACGTGAAGCAGTGGCAACCCAGGCCTTCAGTGACCGCTTACAGGGGCGACGGATACGGGGTGGCAGAGGAGGCATCGTTCCCTAAGAAACTTTTGGACGAGGGGCAAACGTATATTCTTGCCCCTCCATAATTTGTGCCCTAAACATGAGGAAAATTTCCATAACCTGATATTGCAGCTAG